CCATACCCACACCCACACCCACACCCACACCCACACCCACACCCAAGTCTATTTCCTCAATATTTATTTTCAAAACATTAAAAACAAAGAACATTCGTTAATATCCATGCATTTTCAGTCAGTTAATTATGTCTTACAGATAATGTTACACAACAGAGAGCTTCTCTTTTTCTTGTTTATATATCTATTTTATCAGCAGCAAAGAGTTGTTGTTTTACTCAAACTACAAAGAATAAAAAGCTTACATCGTTTTTGAAACTGTTCATACTATTACTACGCAACTATTTCGTTGATCTTACTTTGATCATCACTACGATTGGATTTTATTTTACATGGCTCTTGAAAGTTCTTCCTATAACTAAAATACTTATCAGATTTAATACGATATCTGAAAGTAAATATATACGAAAGATTCCTTTATTCGACTCGTATCTGCACTAATTCTAATATGAATACAAACTCAAAAAATAAATACCACCATCATGATAATGAAAAGAATGCTGACAAAAGCAAGCAGATACTCACAAATGAAAGACATGCGAAGACATGAATATTACATATCTGTAACAGAATATTATGTAAAATTATCTTTGCTTGATCATACATTTGGCTAAATCAATAATAATATAATATGTCTGTGAATAACTAAACACATATTCAACTCAAATAAAGAACATGAAGCATCATTATCTAGTCCAATCATATATCCCAAACAATTTGGATCACGTCTTAGACGCGTTTTATTTAATTAATAGATGAATGATTTGTCTTGAAAGATCCAAGAAAATTTAAAAATAAAAAGAATTCATTTAATCGCTCCCTACTCAAAACAGCTTCTTCAAGCTATGACGTGTTATCGAATTGAAACATTGTACATATATTGCGGATGATCAGTTACGTATACAAAAAAAAAAAGAAATTTCAGCTTTATATCTCTTTATTTATCGAAATTAGAACATACTTAGTATGTGTGAAGTACTCATTTTGGGGCTTTTTGCATCTCCAATGGCATCTAATTACCTTAAGACATAGAGACGATCTGTTCTTTTTTTCATTTCGAAGAACACATTTCGAGGTAGTGACTCTCGTGGGCCCTTTTTTTATTTTCTTTCTCTTTACTTACTCTTTTAGCAATGCGTCAGATCAAAATTCGATGAAAATAGCGAAATTTTGAAGAAGTAATAAAAGAAAGAAAGAAAGAAAGAATTTTTTTTCGTTTAAACCCTTTTTTAGAACAAAGAATCTTCGAATATCACTAATCCCAAATCTCTTCTTTAAAAAAATTGAATCTATCTCTCAAGGTAATTGAATGCAGTTAGATATGCGAAAGGCTTCTAACAAGAGCACAACATTTACACTGTTGTGTACTAAAATTGTGAAAGTTTCGATAGATAAACGACACACAAGATTGAAAATTTTTTTCTATATATGACTATACACTTTCAATATGTAAATACATCAAGTCTTTGTTCTATATCATGTGTATGATCGAAGATACTATAGTAAAGCGAAGGAAGTTTAGAAAATCTAACATTAGAAATTTATTATTCACATCAAGCAATGAATATTCTAAAGTTAGTTCAACTTGAAAATATGCTGTGAGGAAAGATAGATTGAAAGAATTTTTCATTTCATAAAATAAGTCAGTTGCCTCATTGAAATATCCAGTCCCAATAGTATTTCTAGTACTATGTTCACATTTTTTGATCACTTTTTTGGATGTATCTTGTACAGTACTTTTCATTCTATTGAATTCATAAGAAATCATTGCCAGTCGCCATGTTTTTCAATATGTTTTTCCCATAAAAATAATGTCAAATTTTCAAAATTATTACGTGTTGTTTTTGACGTTTGCTTGAACATTGATCTTCAACAATCATATTCAGAAAGTTATTGAAGAAAATTCAAATTTTAAGTTTTGTAGAGCAAAACTTTCTCTCTCTTTTGATATATTATTCGATTCGATTTGCTTAATATATAAGAAAAAAAATAATAATATACTGAGAACAGAAAAGAAACAAAAACACCAAATAATTATCTTAAGATGTCTATTGGCATATATAAAATGTTTTCCTGATAATTATTGAATGATGATTTAGAGAAAGGCGTCAATTTTGGATCTATCTGTTATTTTACATGTTCTTTCATCTCTGATGATCAAAAGGATATGTCAAAATTTTTCATACGATAGTTTATGATGAAAATTCTCGATTCACCTCCTGACCTTGTTTTCGTTCATATTCTATCTTCTATTTCCTTAATCATTACCGCACTATATCTTGCTATTATTATTCGTGGTGTTACTATACTTTATATTTTTGTTTTGTATTGTTTTCTTCCTTCTTTTCTTTTGTTGTTATACCTTGATAAACAGATAAAGCTGTTCACTAAGTAAAAGTTGATGATATTAAGTCGTAGCGCTATTTTTCTTTCTCTCCTTTCTTCTGTTCTCGTCGTAGCATCATGCATGAAGTATATGTACATGTTATCATGTTGTTGATTTCTCACGAAGAAAAGAATAAATCAGAGAAGGTTGGTCGATAGTTTGACAAATATTAATAATATGATGTGCATGAGTGACGATATTTCAAAACGAAAAAAAAATGTCTGCATCCTTTTTTGTGCATACATCAATGGCGTAGATTTTATTTTTATGAAATGTATATAAATGTCTATTGATATTATTTTATAATTTACTTTAGAATATCTGAAAATATCAATAACAGTTATGATAACAGTTTATCTGATTTATTAGAAGAGGTACGATCAAGATTGATATTTCTCTTTAGAATTCTGAAATATTTTATTTGATGATCTGAAAAAATAATAATAAAAAAAAAAAAACATTATAAAAATAAAAGCTGTTAGCGCAATCTCTGCAGGATTAAAAATGTGAAACACAACGGAGCTGTTAACATTATAAAAGTATAATCTAGATATTTGTCGCAGTTTGTGATTAATTGGTACGAATTTTGTCATCCCTACAACGACTTCTTAGTAAAATGTGCCATGTCCAGAATCCCATTATGCTCAGATCGTATATGTCTGACATTAAATGTCCTCAGGATTTCTGTTACGTTTGTAATGCAGCGTTGCTAATATCTCTCTTTTATCGTTTTAGTCAACTAATTAATTATAAATAACGTTCATCGATAGTCGATTCAGGTAGCCCTAGACTGACAGAATAGAAATGCAAATAAAGTTGTTTATGAATGTAAACGAGAAGCTACTATGCTTAACTGTGAGTAATAGAACACAGTTCCAGTGATCGTCTAATAACTAAGGTTCAAACAATCGCGAATGAGATTGTAAAGATCTCTCCATCACTATGATTTTAATTGATGGACCAGTATTAGATAAAAATAACAATCATTGTTTAACTATTCATTGCGACTAGAGTATTGTTCAACGCTGTATTAACGAGCGAGTACTTTATCAATAAATTAGAGCTTTATTAGTGAATGCGAACAAATAACTAGGATAAGCAAAAATCATAACCTTTGAATCATTTGATATAATTCTTGGTTTGAGTTCAAACTGCGTCCATGTGAGCATTTCTTTGTATATGCATTGATACCACTACTTATTTGTGAAAAACATTCTTCATAAATAAGAAGAACATTTCCATTAGATATCGCCGATTATTTATTACGCGTATTAACATTGGGTCGATTCTCTCTCAAATGAAACTTTATCATTTTAATTTAATAATTAGAACGATGCTGAAAACAGCAGTACGAATTTTAATAGTTATTTTATTCAGAAGCTATTTTTACTTTAAAAAAAAATTGTATCTCCTTATTTAAAGGATATGATTTTTGTTTATCATATTTTATGTTCACACTCATTATTAAAACTCTAAGTTATTGATAGAGCATCTACGCCTTGATACACATTGAACAATAATCTATTCACAATAAATACTTAAACAATGATCATTATTTTTAACCAAACTAGTGAATTAATTCAAATTGCAGTACTTTGATGTTCCTTATAATTACTCGTTACCATGTCCATTTGAATTATATTGATATCAGATAATCATGTAGACCACATACCCCTTATAGTCCTTTGCACTATCGTTACCATGCCCATTTAGTCTGCGTTTCCTACAAGTACAAGTGACTTTCGATTTTCTGACCCTATCGTTTCAGTCTAGAGAATAGTCGAAACAGTAGTGAAGTAGAGCTCATCAAGTCAATCGAAACTCGGTCGAGTCCGATCTGAATTCGGTATTGAAAATTCTCTTATTCGGGTCGATTATTAGAACTTTGTGTTGACTGAGTCCAAGCCTTTTAGTTCCAACGGACTCTAGGTAAGAATAAGATCCAATTATATGTTGATTATTGTAAGACCATCGTGACTATTGCATGAGAAATGTATAGGCTGGTCTACTTGCCAATAATAATAAGCAAAAAAAGTATCTTGCATTTGGGGTGCAACTATCTAATTAAGTTATAAAAACTTCATTGAAAGTATTAAGACTGCTATTCACGAGTCTGACAACTTTAGACCGAGATGGCTCTAGTCAGGAGTGGAAAGAGAATTTTTTCGAAGAGAAATTACTTACACAAAGACGAACTCCCTTTAATCCTGAGCAATTAGATAATATTTTACTAGTGTAGTACATGTAAAAGTATGAAAGGTTTTTTAAGGAGCATGTGTTTTATTTTCTGTGTATAATACTATTTCATTTGAAACACTTACATTGTTGACCCAATCATTGTTCTACTGCTTTTTCTGTTATTGATTCTACCTGTCTAGGAAATATAATATTGATATCTGTTATTAAAAAAATGACTTATCATGTTTGTCCTGCTTAATGTCCTGTGCTTGCCTCTGTTACGATGAGAAGTCGAAGAAAATTCAGTTAGAAATTGGTCAATTATAAAAGTTCATGCGACGAATATTTTATAAATACTTCATGATATTGAGTAAAAGATATTACTACTATCTCTTTACTATACCTTTAATATATCTTGAACATTCAATGCGATCCCTACAGTACCAAAACTGGAAACTATTTTTCAGAACGAATTATCAATCCAACTAGCACAGGTCAATAGAGCTACAAAAATCGATTTTGAGAGAAGATCTTTTAAACTGTCTTTTATTTCATTTATCTAAAGGAGAGGAGGAAGCTCTCCTAATTTACTTAAAACTTTATTTTAAGGTATGCAAAGATACGAACGAAACCTATTGATTTGATTCTTAGAACGCTTTAGAGAATTTCTTCTGTAATCTTCTTTGTAAGCATCATCATCGTAAGATTAACTGTTCGTACAACAACACTAATAGTCGACATTTCTTTATATCTTAATTATTTCATACATCGAAATACAACATTTATGTTTTCAAATTTATTAAACAAAACAAAACAAAACAAAATTTTATTTACAATGAAGGAAAGTAATGATACCAATCTTCTACTGGTGCGAATTTGTTGAATCTAAAGTCTTTTTATCTTCTTACAATTGCATCGTGTTTCTTCTCTTGTAAAGTTTTTTGTGACAATTCTCAAATCATCATAATTAATTAATAATGTAGTTAGGCATGGTACATACGCTTTTGTTTCATTTAGAAATTCTTCCACACAGTCAATATTTGCATTTATCAGGTCAATTGAAGTAAGATGAGGATATTTGGCAATTGAATATGATTGACTATCGTCAGATGAAAATGCGTTCATATTACACGACAACTGTAATTTAGAACTTGTAACATTAAGTTTGTCCAGTATTGGAAAAGATCGGGAAATTCGAATAAAGAATTCATGATTGAATGGCATTATATCTACTACCCACAATTTCGTAACATATTTGAATACAGTATCTGGAAATATGTTACCAATATCTTCAAGACGATCAAAAGCAAAAGGAAGTGAGAAGATAGAACATACAGCTTCACAACTACTATTATATTTTATGATATTAGCCATACATTGTTGGTGTCCACTATTTGTAACAATACGTTCAATATCTTGACTAAGCACATAAGGAAATAAATGATTAGTATCATCATAAGTACTAATATAAAAAGTAAATGAATGAAGACGTGGCATATAAAGAAGAATTTCATTTTGAAGATGAGAATTATCGATAAATCTATCTCGATTTTTTATCTGAAGATATAAAGTTAATGTTTCCAGATATGTCATACGATGAAGAAGAGGTAGAATTTTCTCATCATATTCATTTATTAGATGATAACATTTCAATGAAAAACATTTCAAATTAGGTAAATCATCCTATATGGTAAAAAAGAATATTTATAAATATAAAAGTATATAGAGAATTGTTAGTCAACTTTATTTCACGACTGATATTCTTTGTTAAAACTTACTATATTGTGAATTACTGATGAAGACTTGCTTGTGTTACATATTCGAGTAATAAATGTAGTTAATTGTTTGAGTCGACCATCAAGTAAATAAAGACAATCATCCAATGTGTTTACTTTGATACATAAATGAGTAAGAGTTGAAGAGAAAAAAATAGTTGATGGTGAATCACACAATGATAAAGGTGGATACAAAGGATTGAATGTTTCAATAATACTCAAATGTTTTAAACTTTTGAAGAATTTCAAGATCTGTTCATATACATTTCTACTATAGTTTTCCAATAATCCTCTTCCAATGCGTTTGTCATTATTTGCAATAAGAAGATTTGTAATTTTTTCTTGAAAGATATATTGAAGAGATGATTCAT